GGAGAACCTTCTGAAGGCCAGGAGCCCTCTGAGATGGCCTAGAAAAGCCCCAAGCTCAGCGAGGTTTCGGAGAACCATTCATCTGGCTGCCCTGGGTTACAGTGTCCGTACTGTACAAGCTGTCCAAGAAGACTGAGGAGATTTCTGCAACCAGGTTCCTGTCAATGATTGTCTGGGACATGCCATAGATGGCACCCTACAAAGCCAATCAAGGATACATTAGTGATGATGAGCACAGAAACAAGGATACAGCTGTGGTTATGATCCCCTCCTCCCCCAGTCCTAGCTTTCTAAGTGCAACACCCTCTGCCCATTCCCACTCCAGGTCTTATTCTATTAGAAAAACAGCTGGCACAGCAGTTTTCACAGGTACTTTCCAGTCTGCCTTTCTCTCTATAAAGGAACTATTCTATAAATGCTGAGAAAAAAAAACCCAGAAAAAATGTTTACAGTTTTTTCTATGTCAAAAATTTCTTTTCAAATGTACGCTACCACCTACTTTTGGATAGCAGTTTCAAATTCACAAGGTGGTTTATATACAGTAGATCTCATCTGACATGCCCGTTAACCCTAGGAATGGGTGAGGCAGGGGTCAGTAGCAACAATGAATTAACAAAGAGAGAGGTGTAGATAATGGGCTCAGGAAAGAACAGCCTCCAAATTGTCTGATGTTTTCAAACTCCCACAACAACACCTCAATTTCCAAGGGGGTAAAAAAATCTCCAAGTATCTTTACCATTCCTGTGACCTTTGCTTTGCAGTTCTTCATGATTTGGGTGACAGATTCCCGGACGTCCTTTAAGAACTGGATTGCCACTCGCTTCCGGGTATGTACTAATGTGATGCAGATATGAATGCTACGGCAGAAGAAAGAGAGAGATAAGGCTTGAAAACAGAAAGTATTTTAAAATAAAGCAGTTCCCCATTTACTGGCTGCCTCTTCAGATTATCTCTACTGTTCCAGTTCTTGGAATCAGGACTCTCCAATACTGGTTTTGCCAAGCATGGGCAGGTATCAGGCTTCTCAGCATGATCAGGAACCAGCTAAGAGAATGAACACAGCTGACTTTTTTTTTTGTCCCACCCCTCATAACTGCCAATCACAATTCCTTCAACCATGTGACCACCAATGGGATGCTTTTGTCTTAGACGATAAGCCCTCATGGAGAGATGGCCATGCGGCTGGGGCCTTGAAGGACTTGAAGGCAATGAAGAAACAAATTCACCTGGAGAGAAGATGGAATACAGAGAATTGTGAAGAGGGTAAGGGAAAGTCCAGGTGGGGTTGGCAATAGCAGCAATTTATGCAAAGGTAAGCTGTTATATAAAACACACTGAACTGCCCCACTCTGCTAGAGTGGAGGATTTTAGGGCACCTTAGAAAATTCAGTTAGAAAAGCATACTGAAAAACCCAGCAGCAGGCCTGAACTCTCAAGCAAGCACCCTCTTATAGATTTGTTTTGTTTTGGTACCGGGGATCGAACTCGGGTCCTTATGCTTGTGCAGCAGGCGGCGAAACTACTGAGCTAAATCCCCGGCCCTTGTTTTTTTGAGACAGGGTCTCCCTATGTAGCCCAGGGTGGCCTTGAACTCACAGCGTTCCTCCTGCCTCAGCCTCCCAAGTGCTGGGATTACAGGCATGCGCCACCACGCCCGGCCTCTCTTGAGGGTTTTGAATTAAATATTACCCAGGTAACAAGTACCTTATATGAGCAATTGGATGGCTGTGTAGAAGACGGATTGGAGAGTTATAGAAGATAGAGAATGGGGAAGAAACCTCATAAATAAGCACTTGTCTCAGGAGGCTGGCACTTCATTCTGCCAGAGGTGAAAGTGAATGGTCTTGCTCTTTACATCTAAATATTCCAGGTGGGAAGAGAAATCTTACAAATACAGTTGCTACTCAAGAGCTGGGTTCTACCAGGTAAAATCTGCATCAGGTTACCTAGCTCCCCAAGTTCTGCAAAGCTATGGACAGACGGAAAAGGGGCTCCTTCAAGCATACCTGGGTGGAAACTGCAACTGGTTCAAGTTCCACCCCTTAGCAGTCATCAAGTTTGATAGCCGGTAAATGTCAAAATCATGGGAGCCCAGAGAAATGACTGACAACTGAGGATCCCCGAAAATGAAGATGCCTTTAATATTTTCCAGTCTGAAAACACAAACAGAAAGGAAATTCAGCCACATCTGTTCCTCTAGTCAACATCCCTTTAATCTGAATCTAACCTTCCTTAAAACCAATCTACCCTTCTGAGGTTTTGTCTTCTCAACTTCAACACTAAGAAGGCTAGGATGGACAGACATTAGAAATATCCCAAGGCCCAAACTCCAACTAGACCTAACGAATCAGAACCACTGGCTTCTACACGTCTACCCAACTCCTGAGTCCCCTGCAGAGAAGGGAACTTTCTCTTCCTGCCTACACCAACTCCTAGGCCACTGTCCTAAACCCTTGGTCTCTCAGGAGATAGCAAATGGGCTAGGGTTATGAGTGTGCAGCCAAGCAGATGCCTTGAAAGGCTGACTAGTGGAAAAAGCAAGAGCCAAACCAGAACTCCCGTCTTCCATACATACTCAGATCGGAGGAAGCGAGCAGTTTTGATGATCTGTTTGGTGGCTTCAACATAGCCGTTTTCACCGAAGTGCATCAAGGTGGCCCAACAGGCTGCAATGATGCCACCAGGCCGTGAGCCTGCAATGCTTGGGGAAGCGTAGATGCCACCTGGCCAATCTGTAGTAATGAAGAACTGGTACTTCCTGTATTTCTTGTTACGGTACAACACCACGGACGAGCCTTTGGGGGCGTAGCCATACTGGGAGAGAACCAGACAGGTGAGAATGTGGCTCTGTCTGGCAGGCCCTGGCCCAGAGCATGCCATTTACTTATTAGATCTTGGTGGTGTTTTCTTCTTATTAGATCTTGGTGGAACTTAAGGGATGGAGTTTAGATCTAACTCTGTCATGGGTAAGGACTCTGAGGCTCAGGAAGAATAGCATCTTGTTCAGTAATGGTTCCCCTCCTCTCTCATCCAATGTGAGCTTTTCTTTATTTAAAATCTTTCTCTGGAGTTGGTAAGTCAGGGTGGAAAGCCTGCAAGCCTAGAAAGAATGGAATCCAAGCCACCAGGAACAACTAACATCACAGTGTGACCCCTTCCTATCTTTTCTGCTTAGTATTACACATCTTTGTAAGAATATTAGGGTGCTCAGAATCCAAAAACAACTTCATCCAGCTTGAAGATATACTGTACAGTTGGTTTCCCTCACAGAAAATGGGCCTCCTAATCAACTCTAACTGAAGCTAACATGAACTATAATTTCATTCCTAGACCCACACAGACATGGATGGTTAAGGGAAAAGGGCACAAGAGCTATCTGGGTGGCAAGGCAAAATAGATTCTGAATAAAAAATTATTATAGATCATTTAGAGTTTAAGCATACACTTTTTTTGTTGTTGTTTGTTTTTTGGTGCCAGGGATTGAACTTGGGACCTTGTGCTTGCGAGGCAGATGGGAGAACCACTGAGCTAAATCCCCGGCCCTGATCATTTAGTTTAAAAAACAAGTCTTGGCTCTAGCTTAAAAGAAATTCTGAAAATACAATCAAACAAGTGCACATAGCCAAGCACGGTAATGCATTCCTGTGACCCCAGCACTCTGAGACGCTGAGGCAAGAGGATCACAAGTTCAAGCCCAGCCTAAGCAACCCAGTGAGACCCTGTCACAAAATGAAGTGGGCTGGGGATACAGGTCAATGCAAAGGACCTGCGTTCAATGCCCAGTACCTCAAAAACAAAAGAAGGCACACATTCCTGAGGCTTCTAGTACTACTTCTTTATGTGGATATATTTTCAAAAGCGTTTCCAACTGATCTGGACTTCATCTCAGTCCATCAGTGGTGGCGGGCACAGACATTTCGGATGCTGTAAGGCAAACATTCCTGAGCACAGGGGCTTCCTTTCCCAAAGGACTCACTCAGGCTCGGGGGCCCCAGCAGCAAAGAAGCAGTGGTATCAATAGCTGCTCGAATTCCAAGATCAATCCTCAACTTCTTCCCAGCCACCTCAACAAGCTCAGGCTTTAGACTTTGTTGTAAAGACCTTAGACTGGCAGGCCTCAGGTCAACACCATCAGTCTGACTGGGAGATTTCTGCAGCCAATGAGATGAAATTAATAGCCTCCTTTTCACTATTACCACCATATCCCATCTAAATAGCTGATGATTCAGGAGAAAAAAACCCAGATTTAATTTTATACTTTGGGGAAAAGGTAATGCTTTAGCCAACTTTCTTGTGGGCTACAGTTAAAATAACCAATTGTTGGCATTTTGTCTCCTCCTTAGCTTACCTTATGGGTATCAGCCGAAATACTGGTTACACCTTCTACCCGGAAATCGAATGGTTTCTCCAGTGGGTATCCTGCTTTCTCCATAAAGACGATAAGGAAACCCCCCAGACAGGCATCTACATGAAGAGGTATTTTGTATTTGATGGCCAGCTAGTTCAAAAAAACAAGGGACAAAAGAGAATTTCATTTAACAGCCCTATAATAAAAACTTTGCAGGACATGGGCGGAAATGCTGGCTGGCTATCAACACAAAGCTATTCTGAACTGTAACTCCCATGTGTTAAAAACTGGCTATTTTTGACATTCCTAAGAAAGTTTTTCCTTCAATTGTATTTAGCCTTCAAAATAATCCATCTATGTTATGCTATCTAGTTTATTTAAATGTGCATGACCTCAAATTCCCTGCACTATCAAGCGGGTAGTGAGTAGAGCTCTGATGCAGGCAGCCATGGTGGAGGGAAAGGTCCTGTGTGAGTCCCTGCAAGGAGTGGGGGGAGTGCCGTGGAGCATCCTGCAGGTGGCACATTCCAAAATACACAGTACTTCTGATCTGAACCTAAAAGTCAATACCATTTCAGAATACCTACTTAAAAGACAAGACTTGGTCTCATATTATCTCTCTCCCAAAGCACAAGCTAGTGACTTTCAAAGGCTCTAACAGGGTTGCAGGCCTTACCCTAGGGGTGATGAGAGCTGTTCTTCACTGCTATGGTTAAACCTAAAATTCAAAACTGCTTCTATTTGCCAGGTACTGCACTATTAGATTCTATTTTAAAATCTCATTCTGACTGCCAGGGTGGGCCAATTCTCTCATCACCTTGGCCACTTCTGGGATAGGATCTATCACACCATGAGGAAACTGTGGCGCAGAGCAGACGAGCATAGCAGTGTTCTTGGAGATGGCTCTTCTCATTGCCTAGGGATTAAGTTCAAAGGAGAAAAATGAGAATCTAGGTCACAGTTATTCTTCTCTTCTGCTTCCTGAGAGCAGTCAGGGCCACTAATTTAAGAGTTCCAGATCCACTCTATCACAGGAGCCTAGGAGAAGACCACCTCACCACAGGGCAGGACACAGATGCTCTAGACAGGCTCCTTCATGGAAACAAACCATAAAATAAGAACAATACAACCAGTGGGCGGGGGCTGAGCAGCACTACTGAGCTAAGTGGCAAGAGCCAAATATAAGACTCAACCTACTAGCACTGAGACCCTAAGTAGATGGCTTAATCTCATCTGTGAAATGCAATAATGTTAACAGGGTCGACAAGCTCTGGTAATACTGAAACTACAAAGTTCTTCTGCAAAAATGTGAGGCATAAAAACAATTACTATTATAACAGTGGTATTAATTCAGGTCAATCAAAACCACAGTTGAGTCTCAGAGCAAGTTCATTAATGCTCATTTTATACATGGGGGGAAAAAGTGATGGTGTACTGAAAGTAAAAACAGATCTTTAACATCCCAAGTCAGGGGCTACATGATCTGGCTGCTACGGTTCATGGCAGTGGAGCACACCCACGTGTGACGGGAAAGGTCAATATGGCGCACCTTCCCTCTCTCTTCCTCCAGAGAACCTACCCGCACATTCACCTCCATCATCTTGTTCAGTGGGACCCGCACCATCTTCATCCCAAAATAACTGGCTGCTTTGTCAAATGCAGCATGGGCACTTACGGGAACCACTCTAGATGATGGGGAAGAGGAGAATAATGAACTCAGACCAAAAGTGGACTCAAGAAAAGTATAAAGTTAACAGCTCATCTAAACCTTCAGGAGTAAACTTCTGATTATTTTTCCTCAAATTATTGTAAGTGTTCACATCATTTTCTTTTCTAACTGTAAATAAAAAGAAGCCAGCTAACTTTCTGTAGAAAATTTCTCCCTACTATTTAGGAAATCATTTGGGCAACAGGAACAAGAACTCAGATGTAATTCAATCTGGAGGGCTCCAAAACATAAATTAGGTCTGACTTTGGTATAAAGTCCAGGGACAGGGGAACGGATCACAGCAGCATACGGTAGCACTTTCTGACACAATACATGTTCCAACAGGAACATGGGGGTGCTTGGCAGCGCTCAAGCATCAGGTCAGTGGGCCCCTCCAACTCTGAAAGATCATGAGTCTAGGAGAAACTAAAATCCACAATTCTTCTACACACTTGGAAGCAGTATTTCAAATAGTGTGGAAAAAGGAAACAGAATCTCAGGTACATACTTGCTTTCATACTTCCCTCAATTACTTATAATGACTCTGTTCCTTTTAAGGGTAAAAAAATCTCTATTTTAAGTTCCAAGCACCAAACATTTATATAGGAAGCAAAAATGATAGACTGATTTCTTCTCGTAGGCTAAGTATGAGTCCCAGCCTGAGGCCATAAGCCACTAAAACACCTTAGTCACTGACGGCTGTAGAAAACCATTAACCCGAAAGGTGTAGTGTAAGCACACTGTACAGGAGACGGTCTAGAGAAGAAAATGCAACCAACCACCAAAACTATGTCCATAGGAAGCAACAATCTCAAATCTCAAAAGAGATTTTTAAACTATTCCCCCCTTCAAACGGCCCTCAGACTGAAATTTTCTCAGGGAATACCCCAATACAGCACACAATAGTTAAGAAACTCACTGAACTAAAGATAACTATAGTTTTCCTTAGGCTCCAGATAACTTATAATAATCTTTTTAAAAATCACATGCTGGGGCCGGGGATTTAGCTCAGTGGCTCCTGCACCTGCCTTGCAAACTCAAGGTCCCAAGTTCGATCCCTGGTACCAAAAGGAAAAAACAAAACAAACAAAATCACAAGCCCGGAGTGGTGGTGCACACCTAAAATCCCAGCAATCAAGAGACTGAGGCAGGTGATTGATCGCTCTGAGTTCAAGGCCAGCCTGAACTACATAGCGAGTCCCTATCTCGAAAAACCAAAAAAGGAAAAAAAAAAAACAATCACAAGACACAAAGACATAACATAGTCCTCTAACTCTGTTACTTCTGGAAAGATAATCTCATCCCTGCTTGTAGTACACACTACATATAAATAGCCAGGGTTGGAAATGGTCCACGAGGGTAAGTGGCCTATCCACTTAGAATTCTGCTGAAGTGAAAGGTTAAGAAGCGCAGAGGGACCAGAGCAGGGGAAAGAGAACAGCAAGGGCTGAGGAAGAGAAGAACCAGGGAAGCAGATTATTAGGCCCAGTTCCACACAGCAGTACCCCAAATGGACAACCTCAAAGGCGGAAACGGTCATGCATACATTTCGGGAGTTTTGATCCCCTTCTCTAAGGCCAGGTCCCGATAAGCTTTGCAGGCCATCAGGATGCTTTCTGTCCCCCCGGAGGTCACCTAAAATAAAAAAGAGATGCCATGTAGAGTGGTGAGTTAGTGATAGATATCGGCATGTATTATCTGCCTTGATCTTGCCAGTGTCTGAAACTGAGAGAATGAGGACCTGGATGTATGCTGCAGGGCAGATACTGCTATGTCTTCCAGAAAGAAAACTTGGCTTTGTTGCTAAGCCCAATCTTTCGTTCAGAAGAATAATGAAAATGAGAAGAATGAACAAGGGATCAGCATTGTCTGGACAAATGCACATTTGCCCAGATCACAACTGTGTGTACATTTTTGTATTCAACAATTTTCAGTTAGGAAAAGGCACTTCATACCACTCAAAAGTAGCAAAGTTACTTTTTTTTTCAGTGCTGGGGCATGCTTAGCTGTTGAGCTACATCCCCAGTCGAGGACTGATTTTATTTTAGAGTGCATGTCAAAGAACGTCAAATTGTGAGGTTACAATTCTAGTAAACTGTGTGAAACATTAGATCAGAGAGAGACATTCAGACTTTCCAAAGTGAACTTGTGGTTTTGACAAATATGAAAGACAGAAAAAAGCAGAAGTTTCTATTTATAAGTTAGTTATCTGGAAGCAAAGCAAAAATTCTTATTTTTTAAATGAAGTAAAAGTTTTTCTAAAGGTAGGCTCAGCCTTATACAAATTTCTAATAGACAAATTTTTTTTGCCGGAGTTCAAACGAAGACACAGAAGTCTTTTCAGTCATCCCATTTCCCTCACTAGACTACACTCACAAACGCAGAAGCCAGTCTGTTTGTGACAACATTCCTAGCACTTAGCCTAGTAGCAGACAACTAATAGATCCTCAGTCAACATTTCTTGCTGTTTGATTTGATCAGTAAACCATGACCAACACGAGCATGTCGCGGATGCTTGGTTATCTTTTTTTTTTTCCTGCACCAGGGATCGAACTCGGGTCCTTGGGCTTGCACAGCAGGTGGCGAAACCACTGAGCTAAATCCCTGGCCCGCTTGGCTATCTTTTGATAACATCTGAGGATGAATTAATTCCAAAGAAAACAAAAGGCTATCAACACTGAGTTAATAGGACATCCTTTTAAATTTACCATTTCTGAAGATTCAAATAACATTACGTTTATTCTTCTCAAAGAAGAGAAAACCAAGTCCCTAAGCAATTCATTCAATGTCACCTATTAATACCTGGTGATAAAAAGTAAAACATTTTATGTTTTGGTAATTAGTGAAGCATAAAATGAGATGGAATGAGAGACAGTGGTTATTAAACTTTCCTCATAGCCAAATACAGGACAAAAATACCATTGGATACGGAACCATTGTGGTCAGGAGTTATATGGACAATTACTCAGAAAAGTTAAGTTTTGACTCATAAAGTTGACATGAAACATGTGACCCTCGTCCACAAGATAACTTGTTTGTAGGTCTCTGCATTTCTTTGTCAGGAAAGACAAAGTGCTTACAGTTGAGATCGGCTCTACAAATCAGCACCAAGTCCTGTGGTCTGGCATAAGACCTCAGAATGTCACATGAGGAGCTGAACCAGCTGTGAAGGAAACATGGGAAGAACCCGCAAAGCCAAGTCTCCAGCTCAGCAATCTCTTACTAAGATCTGGGAATGACCTAAGCAAAAGTATTTCCAAAGCCCTGGCTACTCACTTCATGTGCCCTATTCCCTACTTTCTGGCCAATAACTAATTAAATCAACATCATTTTTACTGGGCAAAAACCTCTGCACTTTGACTATAAAAGCAGGAATACTTAAATTCTACTTCTAAATTTAAATTCTGATCCCTAAATTGTGTGTTTTAAAATGCTGTAACTCTTCCACTTCTCTGCACCCTTTATACCTAAAGAAAGACAGAAACTGTGAAGAAAGTGGCATCTTCAGCTAACTACTTGGCATGTTATTTGACTTTTTCCAGCACACATATGAACTCTTAAACATTTATTTTGGAAAGTTAAGAAATCTTCTTTCAGATCTTTTTGGACCTGCTGGCATTTGCACAAGCCAAAAAGTTCCACATGAGAACCTACTTTCTTTTAGTAACATTGTTGCCTCTCATCCACTGTAACTGAAGCAAATAAAGTTAATAATAGGAAAGATCCTTTAATGTTGAAAAACAATGAGACCCTTAGTCAGGAATATCTGGTCTTCTTGCATCTTACCTCTAAACGCTGAACTCTGTCTACACTAAAAGCAGCTTCAGAGAAACAGAAACTGAAATAGATCCTAAAGGAGAAGAGGAGGGAAGGAGACAGCAAAAGGGAGAGAGAAACTCAAATAATACCAGAGCTACCTAGTTCTCTTATGGAAGTCTAAATATTATCAGACTTTTAACATTTTCTGATCCTTGCCACACCATTAAGAAAGTCATAATGCCACAGACATGACTGAATTACAGCAACTCAAAAAGCCTCTAGGGTTGGGTTTCTGTATTAAGATGGAAGACAACTCCTTCACAGAGTTCCTTTCCCTTAATAACTGAGAGAATGAATAAAAACTAAACACAAAAAGACTCAAAACCTGTAGTAACAACCACCAAATTAAAAAAAGAAGATAATGCAATAAACTTCAAATACTGGAAATCAAGAAAAGGAAAGAGAAGTGGGAGAGAGGAGTGGAAGGCAGGAGAAGGGGATAAAGGAGGAAGGGGATGGGGGACAAGTGGGCAGAGAAGAAGGCAGGTAGGAAAGGAAAGAGGAAGCAAAGAAGGGAGGAAGGGTTGACAAGCTAGGCTCAATGGTACAAACCTGTAATCCCAGCTACTTGGGAGGCTGAGGCATAAGGATTTCAAGTTCAAGGAGAGCCTAGGCAACTTAGCAAGATCATATCTCAATACACAGAAAGGAAGGAAGAAAGGAAGGAAGGGAGGAAGGGAGGGAGGGAGGGAGGGAGGGAGGAAGGGTGAGGGAGGGGGAAGAAAGGAGAGGGGGAGGGAGAGGGGAGGGAGGGAGATGAGAGAGAAAAGAAAAGAAAAAGTAATGCACAGTGATAGAGTTCTCTGCTAGATAAAATGGGTCCGACAACCCTGCATCCTAAAATGGGCCCCTCCTACAGGAAAGGAGTCACTCCAGAGAGAAAAAAGACCTGCTTTTTCCCACCTCGCCCCCAGTCGTAGCCAATCATCTGCCACCAGCACACTCCCCCCAGCCCTTACGAACCTCACCCAGCCAACCCCTGGTTTCTGTTCTCACCATTGTTCAAGACAGCCCAACAGCTCTGTCCCTTAATAAAAGCCCTGCTTTGGTGTTCGAGTTTCAGCTCATTTTATTTCTCTCACACAGAAGCAGCAGAAGCACAGTAAAACAGTTCTTAACCTACTCTGGAAAACAGGGGTACTGGGGAGTCAGAAAAACCCTGAGAACTCTCATTAATAGTCCCCAAAAATCTTCAGGAAAGCAAACAGAAAGGGTTTCCTTATCTTCCTTCTCTTTTGATCAGTGAGTGGCGGACATGGCTGCCAAGGAAAATTAGCAAAATGGGGAGAACATCATGCCTGCCCCTTTGAATGAAAACTTTAGGAATGCAGGATGAAACAAAATAAGAATCTAAGTTCAAAATGTATTAATCTATTCCAACTGGCCAGAAAGAAAACTAACAGAACCTCTAAAGAACAGACGCAGAAATTCTAACAGAAGAAAGCTTTAGCTACATTCTGCCTCTAATCAAATGGTGGCAGACAAGCAGTCACTATGGTCAGAACAAATAGACTGTTTAGAAAGAGCCACCCCAGGATGGGCCAAGATAAGGAAAACAGTAACTGTGCAAAAAGACTAAAAGAGAGGGGGAAGAGGGTGTGTGCAGCGTTCAAAAAAAAGCCCAACTCAGAGGGAAACAAGTTAAGGAACAGAAGGCAATTCCTCAAAACTGTTTTTCACTCTAGATTTTCGAGGAAACAAGAATTCGAAGACTGAACAATGAAGCAACAGAATAAGACTACAGACCTAAAAATACAAAGTAGCAAATGGTACCAAAGTAGAATAAATACACCAGAAACCGAATGAACACTGCTGAGAATAAAAATACTGACTTAAAGAGAAAAAAGTTTAAGTTTTTAAATCACACTCAATCTAGATCTTTCCACAATAATCATATTATTTACTTGCACTACTGGGGATTGAACCCAGAAAGCACTGAGGTACAGCCCCAGCCACTGTTGAGACAGGTTTGAAGCTGCCCAAACTGACCTCAAATTTGAGTCTATTGCCTCAATCTCTAGAGAAGCTGGGATTAAAGACAGACATGAGCCACCTTACCCAGCTTTTATTTTTTATATATACAAATGAGAGTGAATCCAGGGCCTTGTGCATGCTAAGAAAGCACTTTACCACTAAGCTATATCCTCAACCAGAAATATATAAATCCTTCCCCACAACCAAAAAAAACCCACAAAACCCTATAATCCTCTGGGCTGGAGATTTAGCTCAGTGGTTCCACTGCCTGCCTCACAAGCGCAAGATCCCAAGTTCGATTCCCGGAACAACAACAACAAAAAACATTGTAATAAACCCTACCATTTTAAACTTAAGAAGATTATTTGATGCTATCTGCATATACTTACACATCCACAAGAATCTGGTCCCCCATTGAACAAGGAACACGCCATCCTCACAATTTCTGCCTCTAATTTGCGTAGTCCTGGGAAAATATCTGGATGCAGTGGGTTACTCCATGCAAAATTTCCATACGCCTATGAGGAAATGCAAGAAGATGTGAGTTAAGACTGCTATTACAGTGCAGAGGACGACTCATGCACCAAATGTAAGTTTCAAGTTAACAGGCCCAAAGCTAGAAAGCTAGAAAAGCTAATATATGTTCTTCAACTTGAAGAAAGTCAAAATATACTGGAAGAGACAGACATACAAATAAATTATTTTACAATGTGATAAGGGAAGAAGTATAAATATAGTTAAAAGTAGACACCAACAGATCTTATTTGATGTCATAGCTCTGCCTATTGTTTTTAGCTGTGTACATCAAATAACTCTCTGAGGCTTAGTTTCCTCATCTGCAAAGAGGGATAATCATGCAACTTACCTTACAGAGTTTTCTAGAAGTAAGTAAATGACATACTGCATGCAAAATACTGCTTAGAGTACCTGGCACAAGGCTGCTAGTGGTACTGAGTGCAAGACCAGATATACGTGCACAGCACTAAGAGACTCCAAGGAGGGAATAACACAACATGCTCACTGCTCTTGGAGGGGTCTGTTAAGTGGAATCCTGAGAGGTGAACAGGAATTCATCATGAGGAACAGGAGGAATGAAGAGCGGAAGGAAACAAGATGGACCATGGCATTTAGTAGAGACAGGAGCTCAGTATTCACATGGGATGTTAACCTAGAGGTTAAACGGCAGGCAGGAGCTGACTCATGAAGCGACTCACATTCCCTGCCACATCACAACCTGTGCTTTACTCTACAGAAAATGCGGAACTATTAAAAGACTTTAAGCACAGAAGCAAACTGTAACACTCAGTAAGGTGTGCAGCTTCTTAATTAACAATCAAACACAAAGGCCTGAGAGATCATCAGTCCAACCCCAATTTTATGTGATGAACTGGGTTTCAAAAATAGATTTGAGGGGCCGGGGATTTAGCTTAATGGTTCCAGTGCCTGCCTTCCAAACACAAGGTCCCGAGTTCCATCCCCGGTACCAAAAAAAACCAAAATAAAGCAACCTGCTCATTAAGACAGCAACTTACATAAGGTGGTAGAATTTTTTTTTTAAATAAATAAATAAATAAATTTGATTAGGGTTGGGGTAAAGCACTTCCCTAGCATGTGCAACACACTGGGTTCAATCCCCAGCATCATACACACACAATTTAATTTGATCAGAAATGGAGGAAGCTACAGACCATTCTAAAGTCAACAAAGACTGAGAATGCTCTAAAGTACAGTGGATCTTGGAGTTACAACTGGCCTGACATATGAACAACTTGGGTTACGACTGGAATTTTAGTTTTAACTTACAAAGTCTTGAGTTACGACTCAGATACAGATTTAACCCTTAAAGAGTTCTGGAAGGAACATTGTAACATCCTTTCCTGTGTGGGGTTGAGAAACCCTGGGCCAGTATCTAAGGACAATGTGATCTGCCTGTACATAGGAGACTTTGAAGGCTGTGTAGAGGAGCCTGAGCCTTCAGTTGACCAACCTGAGTTACAAAGCCCTCTCAAACGAATTGAGTTCACAAGTCAAGGGTCCACTGAGGGAGACCACGATCATTTCAGGTCATATGATTTGAGGAAATTATGACTGAGTGTCTCTATCTTGTTTCTTCTTACCAAATAATTGTCCTACCAATAAAAATCTCAAATCTCAAATAATATGCCTTCTCCACAAGACCTCTGTAAAGCCTAGAAATTTAACATTTTAATTTTTTCCAGAAAACATCTCTGACAGGATTGTACTTATGTGCTCGTGTTAGGATGAAGAGAGCCTTTCTGAACTTCTATGATTTTATTCAACAATGAGCTTTCCTTAACAAAGTTGTTCTGATGACAAAAGGAAAGAGGAAAGTGAGGTCAAGTACACTAGGAAAATGCCCGCACGCATCCCTCAAGCCCTGGCATTCACCTGCACAAGCAGCTCCGTGAGCTTCTCCTCCCCGCTGTACACAGCTCCTGAGGCCTTCCCTTCTTGCCAGATACCATCTGCAAAGAAAGTCAAGGGCACCCAGTTACCCGGGAGACAGAGGAGATACAAAGAAACCGCTCTGGGCACAGAAGAGGAACCCAATGTAGATCTTATATTAAATCAAGAAAGAATTTCAATAAAAATCTACTGTCACAAAATAAAGCCTGTCAATTAATGGGAACTGTGAAAAGATACTAACAGCACTGAGGTGCAACTAAAACAGTCCAGTGATAATGCTGTCCTCATCCTCAGCAGCATTCTCCCAGCAGAAAAACTATCCTTTGCCAACACTTATTTTTTGTCGTTTGCATGACTTTAAAGTGACCTTTTCCTTCTTTCCCTTCCCATCCAGTCACAGAAGTATGGGAACTACTGTGAGCAGAGCTGACAGAAAAGAGCAAGACCAAAGTGTGGGACCTCATACACTTATCATCAGAGCTGGAGCCAGGGCACAGGCCACAATGAAGGATGAGCCACGCGCACCCCAGTCTCAGGACCCTTCCTCCTTCCAAGCCTGGAACCCCAAACAGAAGTAGCCACCCGTGACCAGTAAGGTTTGCCGTAGCATTCAAGATCAGGCACACAGTCACTCCTGGGAGAAAGCTGAGAATGACTCCTGACCAGAACACGGGGTCAGACTTTCCACATCCTGCCCCTGCTGTTCCTACAGAGATATTCTACATTATACCAATAAATCTGTTTATGTGGGTGTCTTGGGTCTTTTTGCTGCAACACAGCTGTGCCCTACTGAAAGAGGGCAGTGAGAAAGCTATCACAGAAACACAGGAACTGAAACTACAAATATGGTAGTCACAGGGCCTACAAAGCAAAAATCTTCAGGTTAGCAAGACAGCAGAAGGCGGAACGGCAGATACACACACATGCCCCTCTCCCACAGCCATCTGCAGAGCTCCGGCTTGCTACCAGTTTGACTTCTTTTCTTTCCTTGAAGGACACTGCTGTACTATGCATGTTTTAGGCAGACCACCAGCCTTTTAAGAATAGGCTATTGGCCTTATGGCCTATTCTTTTCCTATGCTAGAGAGTAGGACAAGGGACATGACTTAAAAATTAAAGGGAAAAAAAATCAGATGGGAGCAACCAGCCATCATAATAATGGAACTCTTTCATATACAGATCACAGGCACCAAATTCTGGTCTGTATCATCACATCCTAGACTATATATAATTCCGTATAATCCAAGGTCAAGAATTCAACATGTATTGACTAGAAATTTTGTTTGTCAAAATGCAATGTGGTATCCTGGATTTGATATAAGAATAGAAAAAAGGGTATTTGTAGAAAAACTAATTAAATAGAATTTATAGTTTAGACAACAGTACATACCAGTGTTAATTTTTTAGTTTTAATAAATGTACCATGGCTATGCAAGTTGTTAACGTCAAGAGAAGATGAGTGAAGGGCACAGAGGAAATCTCTACATCATCTTTGCTACTTTTCTGTAAGTCTAAAATTAGGCCAAACTAAAAAGCTTATATTTTTTTAACAAGTATTTATAATATGATCTTAATCTAAAAATCATGTATGTTTGTATTAATAGCAGCAAAAGTAGTTAACATTTATTGAACCTTAGGCACCATCCAAAATATGTCAGGTACTATACAACATTTCCATGTATGATCTCATTTAATCCCCTTAACCAGCCTTTCAGGAAACAGAGATTGCAGGGACAGAGAAAATGGGGCACACAGAAGGTAAATAACTCTCCCAAGGACACAGTTTAAGCAGCAAACCAGGTTGTGACTCCAGGCTAACTCCATGGCTAGTACTCTTAAACATTAAGCTATCTGGTGTTTTTATCCTTCCCACAGGTTCTCATGCATATGTATGTATATGCTCACACCAAACACTGCTGACATTCTGAGACAGACACAGATATCTACAGTATATCTCTAGATATACTCTAGACCTAAACAGATCTATCTATATCTACCGAGGTATGTATCATCTGTGTTCCTCTTTGGATGATGGCATTATAGTGACTTTTTCTGCACTTTCATAGAGATTTCATAAACCTGTATTTCATTTCTATTTAGATTCTTTCTAAAAATACAAATGTCTGTTTTATTCATGTTTACAAAAGGAAATGGAACCAAGTTCCCCCCTCTCTGAGATTTTCATGTTTTACAAATGAATGATGACCCAGGTATGGTAGCGCATGCCTGTAATCCCAGCACTCAGGAGGCTGAAGCAGGAGGATTGCTGCACATTTGAGGCCAGCCTGAACTACATAGTGAGTTTAAGACCAGCCCCTCAACTACATAGCAAGACCCTGTCTCAAAAAAAAAAGATGAATCTAAATTTTTCAAATACGAAATTCCTTGAAACAGGGAGTGGGCCCTCCTAAACACATAGGGTCCGAGGATGAGTTCTTCTTAACCTAAGCAAACAATAAAGGATGGCAAAAGCAGCCGCACTGAGGAGGCAGCAGCACACCTACCCCAAGTGCCTTACCCATGGAGCTGTACTCCTTGAGTCTCTCCAGGACTGCTGTTGTGCTCAGACCCTGGGCAGGCAGGGCTTTCACATAGTCTTTATCCACTTTCAGGTACTGCAAGTGCTTCCCAAGGTCTTCCGTGATCTTGTCCAACTCTTTCTGAATCTCCAAAAGTAAGAAAAAAGGTAACAAGATGAAAGGATGTAGTTCAGAAAGCAGAGAAGCCAGTTATGACACCTAATCAACTGCCAAACACCAGGCATTACACACAGGCTACTGAACTGGGACAGTATTTCTTTCTTAAAGAGATGAGATATTCTGACTGTTTAGCCAGTATGTGCAACACAGCCTCTGAGAATTTTAAAAAGCCAACCTTTGGGGGCCGACAATGTAATTCAGTGGTACAGTGCTTGCCTAACAAGTGCAAGGCCCTAGGCTTGATCTCCAACATGGCCAAAAAAAAAAAAGTCAACTTTAAAATGGTCAAAGATGCACTGAATTTCCTCACACCCCTTTTTTCTCTGCCATGGTGACATCAGCACTGCTTTACCTGGTTTGCATTTGCTGAAGTCAGCATTAATATGAGTGAAGTATTTGGACCTCACTCCAGCCTTGGCAGCAGCTACAGTGTACACATGAAAGCAACAAAGGCAGAGCCATGAAGCCAGCCACGATGCAATAAAAGGGATCCCAGTCATTATTCAAGTGATAAGCAACTTCAACAGATACACGTAGTGCACACCTGGCACTGGAGGTCCCAGACAAGCTCCTGCGCACAAGCACACAACATTAAGCACTGCCAGGATGACTGCATTAATTCTCCTTAAGCTGCTGCTGACAGTTTGTACTGTCTGACTGAAATCCTAGGAGGAACAAAGGTCTTTCTGCTACTTGTAATTTATCAGCTATGATTATTTCTTTCATCTTTATAATGTCAACTTGGGAGCCATTCGCTTTCATTCACTCACTCACTCACTCACTCACTCGGTTAGCAAATATCTGCTGAACTACTGCAGGCCAGGAATACACAGTGAACAAAACAAACCAAGGCAGCGGGTACACAGTGGAAAAACCTCTTGATCTCATGAGCCTTATTTTTAGTGAGACAGACAGAAAATAAAGTCAGGTAAGGAAATGTTCAGGGTATAAGGGGGAGGAATCAGTGGGGCAGAGAAAGGAGGGAGGCAGAACAGCAAGGGCTACTACTTATGTGAAGAGACTCTTGGGTGGCAAATTTGAGGAGAGAAGGTACATGACAAAATGCTACGGCTTTCAACAATGTGTTTGTTAAAATGTGTTTGCCCAAAATCTCACTCTGAACTATTTATATTTTCTCAGTCCTAGTCCTGGATAATTAAAATACAAAGTGCTCTTAAATGTGCCCCCAGCAAAATCACAGGGAAAGCCACTCCTCCGAAGCATGTCTGCAACAGCCTACCATGCCAGCACCGGCAGGCAGCAGAGTCCATGCTATTTGGCAATGTGGAGGCAGCCTATGAAATGGAAATATTTGTAAAGTGGTAAACAAAAAATTACACTGCACCCATGGCGACCACGTAAATAGGAGCAAACTATGTGAACATCCATGCATAGACTACGCTATTATAAAAAAAAAAGACCAAAAAAATTTACAATGAGAGGAATATTAGAAAGCTTAGCAAGTACATTCTCACCCCCAGTTCTTGCCTCACAGCCTCTACTACATTACTCAATTTAAATTTCTTCAAAGCATTTATTTCAAAATGAAATTTTTATGTATGTTTTTTTATGTATTTTTCTACTAAAAATCTGCACACCTTCCACAACAGGCAGAACTTCGTCTTGTTTACCACTATATCCTCAGCACTCAAAAAAGTGCCTGGGGGCCGGGGATTTAGTTCAGTGGTTCTGCTACCTGCACCGCAAATGTGAGGACCCAAGTTCCATCCCCGGTACCAAAAGAAAAAAGTGCCTCGCACTGAGCAAGTGCTCAACAAACATGATAATAAATGGACAACTAAGATAACTTTTTTCTCTAAGCCTCAGAATCTGCTTTTGAAAAATAAAGGGCCACCAGAAAGAATCTTCCAATTCTGTTATAAGTTTACAAATGGGCTCTAGCACTCTCTCAAAATCTTGAAATGGAAAGACTAAGTGAGAAGGATAAAAACAGAAAACATGCAGGGACACAAAGGGGAAACCCTGCTATCCTTTGTGACACAGTCTATCTGCTACAGTAATGCTCCCTCACCCCAGGACACTTAAGGCCAAAAGTGAATGAAAATTTGAAGGTGGGTTAAGCTGGAATAGAACCAAAGGAGAAGTGAGGAGCAGGACAGGCTGCTGGAGAGGACAGCATCAAGGGCTCCTCTGGCTTCCTTAGAGCTTGCATGAGACCTGCCCTGTTTATCTTCACCTGCCTGCAATAAAGACCATGAGACGGTCACGGGGGTATCTTACCCAGTGTGGGTGAGGGCAAAGAGGAAACAGTAAAGACAGCAAGCAGGTCCAAAAAGCAAGGGAATACCACTGTTATCTCTCTTTTTTTGGTACCAGGGAATCAAACTCAGGACCTTGTGTTTGCAAGTCAGGCAGCGGAACCACTGAGCTAAATCCCCGGGCCTCCACTGTTATCTCTTAAAGTTTCCAAATCTGGGATGGGCAAACTGTAGCAAAGGGCCAAAGCTGGTCTGTGTGTTTTTAGGGAATAAGGTTTCCCCGGAATACAGTCAGACTCATTTCTTACAACCTGTCCTCTTCTTGCTACAATAGACACGGCACAGCTTGCAGAGATTAAAATGTTTCCTGTACAGCCTTTTACAGAAAGTTGGTTAATCCAATTTAATTCCTAATATTTAAATTTAGCCCATCCAAATATTGTTTTAAAGAATAATACTTTAGGGCCAGGGATGTAGCTCAATGGTGCCACGCCTGTCTGGCAAGCACAAGGTCCTGAGTTCAATCCCCAGTACCAAAAAAAAAAAAATTAACACTTCAGTCAACTTTTCTAATTTCAAATTACTCTTCTTCAACAGATCTCTCATCATATGTCGGAGAAATGGTTAAGTCAAGGTTTCCCCAACCTTGGCCCATTTAACATCTTAAGCAGATAAATCTCTGCTATGGGGCTGTTCTGCATACAGTAGGATGTTTCAGACACCCTGGCCTCTACCCACTAGATGCCAGCCGTACTGCACCGGAGTCACAGCAACCTGGACTGTTTCCAAACACTGCCAAGATTCCCTGGAGATGGGAGACAGGATCAGCCTCTCCTCTGCGCATAGCAAGTTTAGCAAATAGGAAGAAAGAGTTATGATTACCAAGGTGGGAAGAAAGGCCTAGGTAGCAACCACTTACCTTCTTACCAAGAAACGGCATCTTCCTCACGAGCCTAAAAAATTTCTTTTTAAACCTTGACCATAAGCCTACAAGAAACAAAGGTTCTATTATTCCAATGTATTTTCATGGATATGACCTGCTTGCTAGTCAACACATTATTCACTGTGCCTTTAACAACTTCACTTCCCTTCACGTTGTAAAGAAAGACTTAGTTTACTATTTAAGACACCTTTGAATTTTCTGAATAAATATCTACGTGGTCCAGAATTTATTAAAAAAAATAAAGATACAGTGACTTCACTCCATCACTTTCATTTATCTCACAGACCTTAACCTGCCCCCAGGTTAAACACATCTAGTTTCCAGCATATTCTATGTTTACGTACATACAAGTAACAATAAAGACATATACTTATTTCTCTCCATTTAATACAAAAGGTAGCATAGCCTAGCGCTGTATTAGACCTTATTTTTCTACTTAGAAAAGTTACCTTAAAAGATCAGTGTTGCCCCATTCATTTTACTAGCTACAGATTATTTCATTATTTAGAAGTACCATAATCTAAGAACTTAACCCTAACTGATAAATTATAGGCTGTTTCTAGTATTTCCTATTACAATCTATGCTAAAACAAATAACCTTGTAACATACACCATGCTGCATTCGCACAAGTCTATTTACAAACAAATGTGCAGGAGTAGAACTGCAGGGTCAAATGATGCATGTACTCCAGAAACTTGCCCATGGTTTCCAGATGCCCAATGCTTCTTATCCTTGTCCCCAAAGAAATGACTAACCCATAGTCTTTTCAGTATCTATGTTCTCATCTCTCAACAAACACAGACACTAGCAACATTTTCTGGACCTAAAAACCACCTTCAGGGCTGGGGATTTAGCTCAGAGGCACCGTGCCTGCCTCGTAAGCACAAGGTCCTGAGTTTGATCCCTGGTACCAAAAAAGATTAAAAAAAAAAACAAAAAACAATAAAAACTGCCTGAAAATCATAGACACCAGAACCTATTCTGTCAGGTGGTGTAAGGACAGAGAATTGTATTTGACAGGAGTCAATTATAAGTGCAATTACAATAAATGTATAGTTATAAAATTTGTGTCATAAAATTATAAGTGATTTATACTTTAAGTATAATGTATAATGATAAACTATAAATACATGGTATCAAACTAGACTGCTTAATGCACTCACATTCAATAAATCTCAACTGACTGACAATCTTCTGAGATTGGTCTAGAAAGCTTTATATACTTCCTGAGTGACTAAAAGGCAACTGATGGTCAGGGCATGAAAACTTTCTCAAGGCCACAGATCACAGTAGTGACAGCAAGATTTAACTAAAGTCTTCCATTTTATAGTTCATGACTCTAATGCTTCAAATGCACAGTAGGAATCTTCTGTTATCCCACAGGAGCTTCAAAAACTCTAGACCTGGCTTTTATGCCAGGCATGAACTGAGTATGAACCTTTACTGTGTTCCTAAAGCAATCTAAGCATTCCATCTTCCCTCTTCATACCACAACCATAGCAATTTAAAAAATGAATTTGTGGGCAGGGGATTTAGCTCAGTGGTTTCACCGCCTGCTGTGCACACGCAAGGACCCGAGTTCGATCTCCAGTACCAAAAAAAAAAAAAAAAAGAATTTGTTCAGCTAAAACAGAAAAGTGCCTGTGAAAAAACAACAATGATATCTCCTCGCAGCTTATAAATTCTGTTTGTGACTAGTTAGGTCAGGTATTTCCATGCTGATTTGACTATGGGGAAACAATGCGTAAGGTGCTGCCAAGACACCGTGTGAGAAATGGAGAGTTGATCACCTCCCCTCACAGAAGGCTGGTTTCTGTTGATGAATGATGGACAACCCCATGGTTAAATTCAACACTGAGCATTAGGAAGTAAGCTTTCAGTTGATAATCACAGAGCAGAATTCAGGAAGAGATAACGCCTAGGGAAGTGGCTAACCTCTACCCAGGATCTACCCTTGCTGTTCCCAGTTCTTACTTACACGCTCTACACTTTGTTCCAGAGTTACTTAACACGACTCAGATTTCAGACCCTTGTACTACAGTATACTAAAAGTAACATGATCATTCAGCAATTCAGAGCATACTTCTTTCTACCTGAGCAAGGTACTGATAAAATAGCAAGCCCATCAAAATTATCCCTGATCTTTGGAGGAAAGATATTCTTATCTGTATCTGAAATTCAATTTGAAAATTACAAAATAAACTGTTTTCTATGTTCTCAGCTGTATGAAACTGTCAATATTCAACAATTTTTGGCCTCTAAAATCTACATTTTCTATGCTTCAACCTGATTTAGACCTAGACGCTTTTGGAAACAAGACTTTAATTTTGTTCCTATGGCTCATCCATATTGTCTAAACTTCCTACAGTGCACACATTCTGATTTTGTAATGAGATACATATTACTAAAATGCCTTGGAGATCAGCCACAAAGATCTTTAATATTTTGCTACTAATATTTTCTCACGGAATGTTTAGAGCCAGCATATTCCTTTTTGAACAAGAAAGGCAGGTAAGCTCCTACTGGGACCCAAGATGGCAGTGCATCTGCTACCAGGTAAATGAAATGCACGGACGGCACAGTAGGCTGCAGAACCGAAAGTGAGTATCTAACCAGAAAAGTGCAAAGCATGTGAGGTAATGCATATGTGAACTAGCTCAATTTAGCCGTTCCATGATGCACACATATTCCAAAAGAGCATGTTGTACAGATAAATATATGCAATTTTCACTTGTCAACTAAAATAATTAGTTTTTTTTAATTAAGGAATTAAAATACCTAATGTTAGTACTCCTCATGGCAAATAAATACAAATCTCAAGATCTCTAAATTTCATCTGGTTTCATAAATGCAGTACTTCTAAGAGAAAAGTACATTGCTTCTGTTTGCCTGGTGAGGTGCCCACACCCTCTGTTTGCACTCATGTGCTCAGCATGAAGGCAGTCATTTTTTTTAGACAACATCTCCCTAAGTCACAAAATTGCCCAGACTAGGCTCGAATTTGTGATCTTCTTGCCTCAGCCTCCCCGAGTGCTGGGATGACAGGTACGTATCACCATGCCTAGCTTATGTTATATATATCTTATCACAATAAAAGGAAACGGATGCATACTGCTATACCGCTACTCCCTGGAGTTCTCTGGATGGGGCAGGGGCACTTTACCTTGCAGGGTGATGAGGTCTTGGGAAAGCAGTGTGCTGAGTAGATGACACACATTGCACCCACATCCAAACCACTGAGCATATGCAGCAGAAAAGTTAATCTAATCTGTCAGAGTTTATGAGAACTGAGGACAGAGATTGTAAAGCTGCAGTGAACTGTTATTTTAGGCAGGACAGTTATGTCTGTTTTTCAGTTTAATTAAAAAGCTCTAAAACAATGGAACTTGTTTTTCCTTGTCGTTTCTTGCAATGTTTATTACTCCATAACTGCAATGGCTGCCTGCATGGTAAAGAGATAGACAGAAACAATCTGGCTTCTGAACTGACTTTCCTGGTGGAAGAGAAAGCAAGCAGAAAAGACACAGATAAAGAGCCCTTTAAAAAGATGTTATCAGGGTGGTGCAAATCTATAATCCCAACACTTGGGAAGCTGAGACAGGAAGATCACAGTTTGAGTTCAGGCCAGTCTCAGCTACACAGAGAGTTCAAGGTCAGCCTAAGCTACTTGGAGAGATCTCTCAAAACAAACAAACAAAAAAGATGTTATCAGGGCAACAAGCAAAGGAATGTAGAAATTCAAGCAAAAGAGAGATGACTAGATTCTCCACAATGTGATTGGTTCTTCATACCAAGAAAGTTAATTCAGACACCCTGGAGAGTGAGGAAAGGGTGCAGGTTAAGAGAACAACTACCACCACACCTACTGTTTGGGTTTAGGTATCATCAAATATACCCTACCAACCATAGCCTGAAGGGAGAAAATCCGCTCACACCAAGGTCACATGCAGTCAGGTTTCTGGGTGGAAAGGAGATGGGTGAACAGCAGAGGCTTAAACTTGAGGAAGGGTGGAGGATTTACAAACCTATCACTGAGAGTTATCTTCCACATCACTTTAGAAGTTCCACTCCAAGAAGACAGGCCCTAGACTACTTGGGAGGGTATCCCCAGAGCCTGATGCAGTGCCTGGCACTAAACAGGCAAACAGGAGCCAATTTAACCTAATCATTATTGAAAAGGATGGCCCAAGATGAAAGCAAAACATTTCTGTTTTGGGCCGGGGATTTAGCTCAGTGGTTCCGGCGCCTGCGTCACCAAGCGCAAGGTCCCGAGTTCAATTCCCGGTAGCAAAAAAAAAAAAAAAATTCTGTTCTGGAGAGATATTGGTAGTGAAAAAGACTTAAGCCATACTCTGAGACATCTATGAACTTTACAATGACTAATTTCTGAGGAATTTTAAATGTAAGCTATAAATGCAAATAAATAAAATTTAAAAATCAACACAAGTAGAAGTTATCAAACTGGAAGACAATGTCTTTAAGATTTTAAAAGTCAAAACCAAACCAAAAGGCAAGAAATTAGTCCAATCCACCAGCCATGAGTTCCAAGGCTATGGACATGTCGTGCTACCTTTACAGAGGGACAGCATACTTACTCTCCGGCTGGAAGATAAACCCATATGCCCAAACTATCAGCAGGGTCCACAGGACACTCCATGCAATTAGCTGCCAGGGCTCATATTTGATGCAATACCCATTTACATAATTCTTGGCTTTTGTGGAATATGCTTCCAAAATCTCGAAGTAAGGCTCAAAGTTCTTCTAGAAATAGAAGAGAAAAATAGAAACATTACACTCAGATAAATAAAAGTCTGTTTTTAGCTTGTTCATCAATTCTGATGAGGCCACACCTCTGCAATAATCCTATCATCCTCTATAGCCCTCAGGGCTTCTGTGTCAGTCACTCTGGGCTAACACTGCCATTTAAGAGGCACTAGACTTTAACTCGATTTTTTGATTTTTTTTGATTTCCTGGTTTCCTAAAATAAGAAGGCAAAGCTTGATCACTGTGTCAACCCTAAGCCTTTTATGACTGCTGGTATTCTCTGACCTGTCTCTTAACTCAAACTGATCCTCTTAATATGAATGTCATTTCTCTCCTGTACTTTACTTAAATCTTCCCCACTCTCTAACCTAGCAGTGGGCAGACTGGTTCTATAAAGAGCCAGACAGTGAATATTTTAGGTACAGTGAACTAAATATTCTGTTACAGCTACTTATCTCTACTGCTGTAGTTCAAACACTGTCATAGTGTGTAAATAAATGTAGTGTACACAATTTAATTATGCTCAAAGAAATCTGAATTTCCTATAATTTTCTTGTGTCACAACCCCCCACCTTGCAACAATTTAAAAAATGTGAAAATCTTAGTTCACAGGCCATAAAAAAACAGGTGAAGGGCCAAATGGATAGAGTATGTGGCCCAGAGTATGCCAACCCCTACTCTACTGACAGTAAAACTCCTAGTTTTATTATCATATGGGGACATTTTATTATCATATGTATCCCTCATGATATTTAGCACATGGAAGAAAAAAAATCTCCTCTACTCTAAATTCACCAGTATATCTCATTTATCAGAATTCATCTCATCCTTTAAATCCTCAAGTATGCATCGCTAACAGTCTGTACGGAGCTTATCACAACCTGCCTTGAAGTATACTTCTCCACTTATCTCCCTGACTATGGTTCTTTATGGTTAGAACTTAAAGACCGGCCAGTTTTTACTTTTATTTACAACTCCCAATAGTGTCCTGCAAAGACAAGTCCATCTGATGGCCTGTTATCCATTTACTTACTCAAATTTTTAAAGTACTACACTGGGGAAACAGTCAAATAAATATCATGCTTCCTTGTTCTCACTGAGCTTATAACCTAAAGGGACCAGTACTATGTGTCTGTATATACACACACATTCACAAATACACAGGCATACACACATAAACTACTAATTAAAACTCTTCAGGAGAAAAGCTATAGAAGTACTGATGATGAGTACTGAGAGAGCACTGAGGAAGGTCTACCAGACTCTACATAGGGAGATAATGATAATGAGAATAAAATTTAAGCTAGCTAAAATGATAAAACAAAATTCTCAGGGACTGGGGATTTGGCTCAGTGGTTCCGGCACCTGCCTCACAAATGCAAGTTCCTGAGTTCGATGGCCAGTACCAGAAAAAAAAAAAAAAAATTCCCTAGGGAAAAAAGTTAAAAGAAAAAAGTCATACCAGGAAGAGAAAACAGCTGCAAATGTATAAAGGAAACTGAGAAGGGTAGAAGTTCTGTGTGGTAAGAGTGACGCTACAGGAGGGCAGGGGTCCTTTCTCACCAGTGCTAAATCCTCAACACAGGACAGAGTGGAAGCGGTTAATAGTGCCTGACTAATGAGTGAATGCAACAATCAGAGACCTGAGGCTGGAAGGACATTGACTTATTCTACTGGACTAAACATAAACTTCAAACACAAAGCACAAAGCATAGAAGAATACACCAATTTCTTTACGTAAAGAAATTGGTTGTCATCTATTAACATTTTAATGTATATTCATTTTTATTCCCAAAATTCCACTTTTCAGTATCTACATGCTTGCACATGTATACAAAGCAACATGATCAACAAGGATGTTCATTTCAGTATTCCTTGTAATGGCAGAAGAAAAACATAATAAACATTCCAGGAGGAATAGTTAAACTATAATACACATATTTTATGTACCCAGACTATAAAACAACAGAAAGACAGGTCTTTTTACATGGAAAAAACTCCCAGAACATACTATCGAGCAAAAGAAGGCAAACTACAGAACAAGAATAAAATAAAAGACATGGATTGCTAGGCATGAGAGTAATTTTTTAAGAAGATAATTTGGTGGGACAAGAGTAACAGGAGGACAGAGATTAGAGGCAAAAATTTTAGTTAAAGAGATTGCTGAAAGTCCTGGAGAGAAATAAACTGGGTTCCACATTAGATAGTATGACACTGGGGACAAAAAAAAAATAGTATGGATTTGGAAGACAGTTCTGGAGGTGAAACAAATAGGATTTGGTAATTTATTACTAATGGTAAATAAATATGTAGTAGGAAGAATACAGATAATTCAAATTCTCAAATTTAAGCTTCAGAGACTAGTTAAGTGATGTCACCACCGACTCCGGTAAGACGAGAAAAGAAAGGGAAGCTGAAGAAGGCAGCAGATGTTTTGAGTTATGTTCCTACTGGACACACACATACTAACAGTAAAAGCGTGAAAGGTTAAAAGGACAGGTATTAACATGTGTTTCCCGAAAACATTTCCACCTGCCAAGGTTACGTTGAAACCTACCACTGATGATATCGATGGGTGGTAGATGGTACTGAGATGGGAGCTTTGGGGGCTGATTAGATCATCAAGGCAGAGCTCTCATGATTAGGATCAGTGCCCCTGTAAAAGAGGCTCCAGGGAGCTAATTCTCTCATTTCTTCCACTTGGAAATAAATTTTTATTGCTTATTAAATCCCTTGACTTTATGGCATTTTGTTACAGCAGCCCAGACAGACTAAGCTGATACTCTTAGTAATTAAGACAGTGGCACAGGCAATTAACATTAGGCAAGTGTTGGGTTCCCTGGAGGGCTATGAAAACAGCTTCTCTGCACCCCCTGCACCACCATGCTTTTTGGGGCCATTCCCGAGAGCCCGCTGTTGCTATCAACAACCTCAGCACTCCAAAGCAGTGGCAGTACTGGTCAAAACCTGGGAGAGACCAGAGGAGTCTGTTATCATCAAAGGTATGTGAGACGTCCATTGTCACAAAGAACAGTCTAGGTGGGACCAAAGCTGGGACCAAGCTATCTGGGCAGATAATGTGTATGAATGGTCACTGAGATCAGCTTCTCTTCCGGTACCAACTCCTAACTCACTCAGAAATTAGAGGCTACCAATGTCAAAAGATGAATATAGATATCATTGACTCTTTCCAGTATTGAAAAAAAAAATAACAGAACTAGCATTAGGGAGATAGCAAAGAACCAGTAAATTTCAAATAATTTTTCTAAAGCATTAAAATTCAAATATGAAGACACTGTCACTAACATTTTAAAATTAAATTCACAGAACACATTTCCTTGGTAACTGCTTTGATCCTTAAGATAGTGGGAATCCTTAAATTCAAAAGGGACACATTGAAAGGAGATACATCTCTAAAATCTCTAACTCCAAAGATAAAATGGTTCCGTAGCAAGCTTTATTTTTTGGGGGGTACCGGGGATTGAATTCAGGTCTTTGCGCTTGCGCAGCAGGCGGCAAAACCACTGAGCTAAATCCCCAGCCCAAATTTTGAGATGGGTCTTTTTTTTTTTTTTTTTGGTACTGGGGATCAAACTTGGGTCCTTCCACTTGCAAGGCAGGAGGCAGAACCACTGAGCTAAATCCCTGGCCCTGTAGCAAGCTTTTTAAGTAGGCAGCCAGTTGAACACAGAAATTACATCTCTTGGCATCATGCTAAGTGCCTTCTAGGTTACTACAAACAACCTATCCAATCCCCAATGAAGAAGCACCTCATGACACTGGCAACTCACTGCAGAATCAGGCTCTGTGGGGTTATGTAGCCTATCTCCTTGGGAAAAAAAGGGATGAAGCAGCTCCTTTGGGCCTTGAAAATAACACAAACCCCAAGCTGGGTCCTGATGCAATACTCCAGCTCTGAGGAAGCACAGAATCTAGGAGCTGAAGTGAACCTTACAGATGGAGTGCAACATTTTCACTCTCCAAGCAGAGGCAGAAGGAGACAGTGTGCCTAACCTTATAAACAGGTTGGCGCCTGAGCGTAGCAAGGCTCCTGACCCAGTCAGTATTCGATAACTTTCAATTCTTAATTCTGTGTCCCTGGACACAGCATCACCTATCACATTACAATCCAGTGGTTCCTCAAGTTTTCTTTTCACAATTTATGTTCTAGGCAACACCAGTTTAGGTTCTTGGACATACGGTACTGTTCACAACCATCTAAAACTGTGCAGCTAGGTCATGACCAAAGATGAATGTCTAGATGGAGATGGCACAAGAACTTAATGTAATTTCTATTTCCTTACAACAGCAACAGTGCTATTGATTTTTACATGGTGCAAAGTAAGCTTAAGTTTGTATGATCAAAATCAAAACTAAGACAGCATCTTCCAAGTGAAATAATTATAGTATTACGTTTGCTTTTCACAGCTTTGTTTCCTATGATGTTAGCAAGTTTTTACCTTCCCCTCTGAAGCATCTCTCCCACTTAAGCTGTGCAAGACACAGTGGCAGTGGACTGAATCTGCGGAGGACAAAGGCTGATCATTTGTAACTGGATTTTGCCAACACTGGTACTACTCTCAGGACAACCCCAAAGATACATCACATCACAGGTGATAAGAGCTGATCTATCCTTTGCTGATAAAGACACTAAGGTCCAAAGGTCACACAGCTCAAAAATACTCAAAGGACTGAAACCTTCTGGCTCAAATGCATTGTTTTTTTCCACTGCCCTGTTTCCCAGAAATAACCTATCCATGGTACAAATCAGAGAACAGACCCAAAACTGTCAATTCTCACAGTCCCTTCTACTTTATCCCAAGAGCCAAATTAAGGGCCCATAGTTCCACTACTCTCCCAATCAAGAAAGACAAGGATGGCCATACATGATGACACACGCCTGTAATCTCAGCACCTGGGAGGCTGAGGCAGGAGGATTGCCATGAATTTGAGCCCAGCCTGAGCTACATAGTGAGTTCAAGCTCACCCTGAACTA